AGATAACTGCCAAAATTTTAAAATGAATTTTTAGATTCTGTTGATTGCAATGCCTTTTGCCTTTTAGAAATAAAGAACTTAAGGGTCGTATTTCTAGAATTTTTTTCTTTTCTCTAATACTTTACTTATAATTCTGCTTCAAAAAGAAAACTTCATAGGAAATGAAAAAAAAAAACTTTTAAGCATTAAATGTAGTAATAATCTTACTTGGAAACTCAAACAGCACTTTTAGATTGTTTGTATATAAAGCTATGTGTACAAAAAAATCAGCTCTATAAAACCATGCTCAGAAGAAACATGTGCCAGATCATTAATATAAAACGAAAAATATTAGATTCCCTGGTCTTCAGAAGTTGGGAAAACTAATAATGGGCTTTCTTTGGGAATACCGATGTCAGCTGTGGGTGCCTTGAATTGTCAATAATAATGTTAAACACAGAGTAGAATATCAGGCTGAGCTTATTCTTTATTCTTCTCTCAAAATCATTAAAGCTAAGACAGTTGTGACATATGTCCTGCTCTGGCACAGTAAGTGAAGACGTGCATGGATGTGTGTCTGTGTGCTGAATTATTCATGTCTCAGGTACTGCTCTGGAGAAGCAAATGGAGCATGCTTTGCTGGTGGGTACACTTCAGCCATATCTCATGGAAGAAAAGAATAAATATTCTCGGTTTATCCCGGGCTGTGCCGGTTATCAGCTGTGTGCAGAGGCCCAGGCATTATTTTTCTTTTTACTGTAGCTGGATTGCGGGAAAAAGCACATAAATACCAAAATCAAAGATGAAGTACTTTTATGGAATTTGGTGCCTGTGTGTGTTCACTGCATCCATCTAGGTAAAGGACTTTCTGTGTGAGGCTTATGGCATTTGCTGAGATGTGGCCACGAGGTAACCTTAGAAACACAGGGGAAGGGAAACTTAAACGTGGAGGGTGATGGTGGTAGATCCTCAGGGATACCTTTCTCCTTGTGGAGAGAGAGGCAGGATGTGCAACAGAAATTGTGTTTGCCTCTTATCCCCGTCTCAGCCACTCCTGCCATCCTGAGGTATGTAATGACCTGGGATTTGAGTTCCTCACCTGATGTAGCATGAGGTTGTGACTTCAACACTGCTGTCTCCGTGAACTGGGTGCAGGGCAGGAGCACAGCCTGACACTTGTCCAAATTCTGTCTTCTGGCACCCATTTGGAGCATTGTTAGAGAGACTGGTCTTGTTGGGTGAGTGGGTTTCTTTTGGTGGTAGCATTTTTTTATTTTCTTTTTTTTTTTCCTTTGTTTTTTTTTCTAATCTCCATTCAGTAAGTAAATTGCCTTCCCCCATCTGCTCAAGAAAATGGATATTAAATGAGCTACAGACCCTGTTTTTCAGTGTTTTTAAACCCATTTCTTTTTGTGATTCTTATGTGACTTGTTATGTATCATTTCTGTTGAGAAGTTAATTTGAAATAACTGGAGTTTAAATTTAGAAATGTTGAGTCCTGGGTGGATTTTAAAGTTCAGTAGAAATTTCATCTTACGTTTTGAAGTTGTGTGGGGGATGTTTTAACATCCAAACTATATTTTGCAAGCCCACTCCGTGTTGTGACCTCAGTGCAATGCACAGAGTTTCAACAGGTGAAGAAAGCTGCTCGAGGAAGAGGTGTTGATTTAACAGATGACTCTTCTCTTAAGGCTTGTCTAAATGATATTTTGCTTTAGGATACATTTTATTTACAGTGAGAGGGAAGTGTAACTTTCTAGCATAGGTAGGAGATACATGCTACTTGTTAATTTTGTTTTACCCTTTGCTAACACCCTTATTTTAGGTTAAAAATATCTAGAACAGGAATTATTATTTAATGTACTTCAGTAACTATGCTGTCAAGCAATAGTGACCCTCATCCTTCTCAGACAAGTAAAAACCTACATATTGGAATAAGATCTTAATTATCTGAATGCTTAAGTTAGTAAAACATCTGTATTGCCTAAAACATGCTCATAATGCCTGAGTTTAGATTATATATGTATCAATGTCTTGGTTTTTGACAATTATTAAATGTGTGCTTTATATACTAAATAATCTCTTTCTGGCTTTGTCAAGGTCTCTGAATTATTTATTGTAGCCTACATTACCCTCTTACTTATTTGATAAAAGCTAAGGATTTTATCACTTCAAGATTTTGCTATGTTTGGGATAAATGCATTGTATATTAGTAACATTTTTTGTAATTATGGAAAATGTCTAATAATAAAGGAAGAACCACTCTCCTACGATATTACTTTTATTAAGTATGTCCTTGATTTAAATTCAATTATGTGCTTATTCTCTTATTGCTAATGTCCTGTGCTTTTGTAATGAAATACTCTTTGCCTTCTTAGTTTACTAGTCTGATGAAGAAGTAGCTTGGCAGCATTGTCTGTGTTTTCCTTTCTCATGTGATCTTATGTCAACCTAGCTTTGACCTTTATTTGATGGAACCTAGTTGTAATATACCCTTCTACTTAACAAGCTTTAAAATAGAAATATATGATTGGCAGAACTGCAGGAAATAATTAGTTCCAAGTAAATGAGAAAAGTGAAAGGAATATTTTAAGGAAAAGAAAGTGATTCAGCTGGTTTATGGTGCATATGAAGTTGCCTCAGCTTTTAATTTAACTGTTTATGGATGGAAATATAAATCACTGTACAAAACCATTTTTTGAAGGAGTCATTGTGAAAAAGCTTTCTAAATAACCTAACTGCTGATTGGCTTATTGGAAGCTCAAATGTATGAAATATTAATTAGTTAATTTGCTCTTTCAGACCTACTAATAAAATGTGGCTGAATGGAGAAGATACTATAGGGAAGAGAGAATGTGCACTAGATCTTGCTGAACTCTACCTAGAGAATTATTGGGTTATTTGAAGTGATAAAAAATACATATACATATTTCCCAGGAAAGAATTTTTCAGTCAGTTCTTCAGTCCATTGGTACAGGGGTTGAGATGTGTTTTCTGTGTTTTAATTACATGTACAAACCAGGGCAAGCTCAGTCACTGTATAGATGAGTACTCAAGTATGCTATACATAGGGGGAGAAAGAAAGGAAAGAAAAAAGAAGGAAGGAAAGATTGATTGATTGATTTTCCAACATTTTGTCTGTGACACTTAAACATCTGTAGATTGTGCATCTGTATTCTGTGAGAAATGAATAAAGAGTGAACCACTCTCCTGCCCCTTGGATTTTTCCATACTCTTAATTTTCCATTCATTTGAATGGCTCTTTACTGATAACACCTTCATGTTTGAAAGGTGGACAGCACTGAAGGCATACTAAAAGCCATCTAAGCTTTCTTCTTCATGACCACGCATCAGTGAACAGAGATTAGGAGACATTTCACCCATGGTGTCTGCCACAGGCTTTGTACAAGATGTGCTTCCCCACAGAGTGGTGGTGGCTGTGCTGCCTGCCTTATGTAGACTGAAGCAGAGTCCTAAAAGAAAGTGGTTGTGAGTTACATGTGGTATGGGAGCAATACATAATTTTTAAAGCTGTTGCCATGAACAACTGAGGACTTACGATACAGGTCTAGTAGGTTCTAATGCTAGCAAAGAAATACAAGACCAGCTTAATGCCGCTTTGGGAGAATGAAATGTCAAAGGCTTTACTGAAAGCCAATATGATTTTGGAAAGAAGTGGTTAAATTAATGTTATTAAAAATAGGCACTCTCTTTTTCTCCTAATTGAGATACCTATTTAGATACTACTTGCTCTCTTACCTTTGTATGCCTCATCAGAATGTAATTTTGCCATTTTTTCTTTGGCCTTCTTTCCAGTTGACTAGTTCAGATCTTCTCTGATGCATGTTGGAGCAGTGCTTTTTTCCTTCGAGCTGCCTGTAGTACAGGAGGTACCTGGTAGCCAGTTCTTCTGCTCAGCTATACTGCTGCCACTGATGATTTGAGTCCCATGTCTTCCCAATTTCCTTTGCTCATTGCTTTCAATTTTTGAAGAATTCTTATTTGCAAGCCAAGGCTCTGTGAGCTTATTCCCTGCAGGCCATGAAAGGAATGGGTTTTGAAAATTGTTTTCTTGTGTGAAAGGGGTGGCAAAATGAGGGATGATCTCATGTAGATAACTTTCTGTGCTTAATCACATTTGTAACAGTGCAAATCTATGACTTTTGTGTCTCATTGCTGTGAAAGTGACATCTCCAATTGAAACAAGCTTTAGAATTTATTAGTTGACAGTTGCTTGTTTTGTTCTAGTGATATCCATAGCGTGTTTTCCTCACTATCTAATGCTCAAAATATAATGACCTCCATTACAAGCCGTTACTAATCTGACAAATGCGCATTTTCAATGCTCATACTGATCTGGTGCAATGCACCAAATGTAGAAAGAGCAATGTAAAGCTGCTGGTTTATTTCAGATCTTGAAAGGTCAGGGCATGCTGCTGAGGCTTAGCTAAGGGTTTTACTGCCTTTTTGTTACTGAGCCATCAAATATCTTGCAGGTTTTTGTAGCCATTGTTTACTGGCACATTTTCCAACTGCACCTATTTTTCTTTTTTCTGTGACAGAAAAATGAACATTAATTAATGTTTCTTTCAAGGCATCAATATACTGCATTCGAGCAAGGAGTTCACTTAAATGTGTAAATGCTTTGTCATTATAAGTATTGTGAACAAAATGATCTAAATGACTTCAGAGGAAAGCTGTGTGGAGAAGTATAGCTGCCATATAAAAGCTATAATTAGGGAGTATTTAAATTATTTTACTTAACTTTAAAGGTATTTAAGTGTTTAATTCATGTATGCTTGAATGCATATTACAGGTTTCTAGCTTTCTGTGAACTTTGATTAGGTTAAACCTCTTAGAGCCTGAGAAAAAAATACTTGAAAACCACACATTTGGGAAAAATTTAGTAACTTGATAATACTTCTATGTAGCTCTAGGTTTCTAAATATTGTGTTAGGAAAACTTACATTGTTCAAATAATTTGGTGTTTGATTTTAATACTGACTTTTGTAACTTGGCAGGGACAGCCTGTTGGAGACTGCGATTTTAATGTTCGACTTGCATGTATAGAGAAAGAGATTATATTTCCACGACATGAAAAGATGAAAAGTGGTCTCATTGACAAAGCTCAGGAACCGTTCAGTGTTCGAAACAAACCATTTTTTGACATCTACACTTCCAGAAAGGTAAGCTTGATTTCAGTTGTTTTGTGTTGTGGTACTGGAGGCTGTATAACAGTGATAGGTATAGGTTTTTCCTCCTTATTTTTGTTGTGTCTTCCAGTGAGTTCCTCTGCTAACCAAATGTTCAGCAATTGTGGAGTGACTGGCAGCTTGGGATATTCGGAAAAGTGGGGTTTTTTGTTTTGTTACTTATCTCAGGATTTTAGAAAACAATTTTTGAAGATATCAATAAATCTGAAGTACCAGGTAGAACTTTAAGGACATTGCAATCTGCATGTGAGACGATTGTGTTTCAAATGCAGTTCAGTCAACAGTTTTTTATCCTAATGTGTTAACACCACCTTAAAAACATCTTTTAGATATGAATATCTATACACTTTTAATTTATTGGGATATTTGGCGTTGATGTATGGCTTCTTTGGTATTTTTTCCTTGGGTTTCTTTTTGTTTGGTTTGAGGTAGGTGTTTCAAGTGTCAATCATGACAGACTCTGAAGCCTTCTACATTTTGGAGTTAAGGTTACATGTTTTTCTTTTTGTACAATGTACATGATAGGGTATTTTTGTCCACATTTAAATCAGCCTTACCGAGTGAAATGTGTTCTTTTTACTACTCTTACAACAGAAAGCTTCTTAGGAGGCTTGAAATCTGATAATTGTTTTGAATAAGCAAGAAGTTTTATGTCAATATTTGAGAATTGTTTGTATGCCCTATGATAACTGTAAGGAGTTTTAAGTAGCAGTACCAGTATTGACATGGAATTTTATCTAAGGCAATATTGCTAAACACTTAAGAAAAATAATTATTGGTTCAAAATAGATTTTAAATCTATATCTGATAAAAGAATAGTGTTCATAAAATATGTTCTCAAAAGATATATATATAATGTAGGAATTATTGTTGCTCTTACTTACCTCAAAATACCTTGTAATTTCATTACTTCTGTGAACTTGATGAGTGTGATTCCTGTAACACTTCCTTAGTGTAATGAAAAAAACCTTGCATTTTCATATTCATCATAACTCTGTCAATTTTTCATTATGTATGGTCAGAATAGACTATAAACAGTAGTCCAGTCTATTGAAGCATTGCCCTATTCTGAAAAAAGACTATTTAAAAATAGTATTGTTTTGCCCAAAGGATCTTTATCCTATTTTTATTTAGTCATCTCTGCAACTATAGCAACAAACATAGTGATGAATACCTCATCAGTATAGCTGAAAAAGCGAGCTGACTTCCTCTTACATCAGTGATCAATGTCTTGAGAGGGTTTGCCAACTCTGTGTGCAGGACAGCAAGATCTGCAGGAGGACAAGGAATTCCTTCTGTCCTCTAAGTCTGTTCATATCCATCAATCCCTCTCCAGAGAGAGGTGCTGCTGAATGGATCCTAAAGGATGACAAGTTGAGACCTGCTTAGGCAGATCTTCTCCTTATGTTCAATTAGATGTTTTTATTTTCTTTTCCAAGAATCGTGGGATCCTTTCATATCTAGAAAGGATCTAACAGGATCCTTCCTTTCTTGACTATAATGAGTAGCTTTGTGGTGCTTAGTAGCTGGCTGGGGTAAAACCACCACAAGATCCTTAAAGATTTGCGCCCTTGAGTGGTCTCAGAAAAGCTGTGATATTTTTAAGCCTGGGTTTCTTTCCTACTTTCTTCCCAGTGTATTTCACTGAGAGAAGATGTGGCTTCTTAAGTCACCCCCAAGGCTTGTTGTTTTAAAAGATCAAGGAAGGTAGCAGTCCTTGGTCACAGATAAGATGGCTCTCTGATTGCACCAGCATATTCAGGACTGAAAAAGTGGACAACCCCTACCTTGTCCGAATGGGTTTCATGAAAACTTTTTAGAGTATGATTTGGAGTTGCTTGGGGTATTTTTTGGGTTTTTTGGTAGTGGTTGTTTTTTTTTTTTGTTTTTTTCAGTGTAGCTGGGGTTTGCTCGGGATCAAGAAAAGAATCAAGTGTACTTCATCACATCTTATTTCATCTTATTTTTGTTTTGAGAAGCTTTAAATTTTGAAACATGTTCTCAGGATGCAGTTTGAACTTCACAAGAGAATGCTCTATACCTCTTTTTCACAGCTTCCCTCCATCATTCCTTTCTATGACATTCCAATCCATTCTTTTTATTAAAAATAATGTATCAGTAAATGTGTGTTAGATTGTGTGGACTATAGGAAGATTACTCAAAAGGCCAGGAGCCTCACTGCTATATTTAATAGCAGAAGAAGTGGCTAAAACTTTTAATTATACCAGAAAAAAATGAATGTTTTCCATGTAGACTTAGTTATTTTCAGTGAAAAAGTGGAAGTAATTACTTGAAACAGCAGTAAACTTTGTGCTGTGTTATGTAATACATCCACTAATGAAAATGTTCTTTGAGTTATGGATTTGGAACTTTAATACCAGAGTTAGGTACTGACTGATTTTTTTTTTTAATCTGGAAATCAATTTACTGTGAAATGAAATGCACTTTTAAGGTGCAATTATAAAGTATGGCAGCATTTGTAGTTGTGTCTTGAGATTTAGTTTTGGATTTTGGAAATAAGGGCTGTGTCTTTATAATATTGCCTCCAGTGTTATTTTAAGATGTTTGGATGGACTTTTATTTTTTGTAAGACTGAGTTTTAGTGGTAAGACAAAAGAAACAAACAAGCACTGGAGAGAAGGTTGTATATTCTCAGAGTCTCTAAAAATATTGCCTTGTTGAACTCTGATATTGATGAAGAAAAAGTTTTTTTCCTCTGTAATCAGTTAAACACAGGTTAGTATTTTAGTGCTAGCTGGGAACTTCCTTTTAGTGTAACTTTCAGGTTCTCATAGATATTTTTGAGTAAAGTTGAATTTTTGGTGTTTGTCATTACACTTGCATGATTGGTCACTTTTGTTGCATAGCTTGCTTTCTTTGCACTTATTGGTTTGCATCAGAATTCAAGGAGACGATATGGTCAAATTCTCCCACCCATTGTGTGAGGATTGCAGCAGCCAGTGGAAGAAGCTGAGTTTTAGGTTAGTGTTTTAAATGCTTCATACTCTTAGGCTTTGAACCGTGGCCTTGTATTTACAGGAATTTTAGGCTTTTCAGCAAGACTTTATTTTCATTATATTCAGCAGGAAGTACAGGTGCATAGAAATAATTATATTCTTGGAAATGGTCCAACTCTTGGCTTTCCTTGCTTAAACCAATTCACAGTTCACTTGCAAGGTTTTTTTTTGTGTGGGCAGTCTGAGTCTGGATGTCGTCACTAAAGCCCATTGTCTCGTGAAAATTCTGTCTAGCAGGAGTAGGAAAAAAGTTCCTTTCTGTGCAGTCTGTGGTCCCATGGAGAATTCTGCCCATCACTCTCAATGGAACAAAAGGGCTAAAGGTTAAACAATGATACAGGTCAAGTGAACAACCTTTTGCAAATGTTAGCACACTGTATGTCAATGACTTGTCAGTTCTTAGACTATTATCTAGTTTTAAAATGACAGCTTGCCTAGAGGGATTAGAGAGAAGGTAATCTCTGCTAGAAGATTAAATGGTCTAGGATACTTTTAAAAATTTTCAGTCAAATCTCTGAACTGTCAGGTGACTTACTTTGTTCTCTTGGTTTATTTGACATTTGGATTTTTATTTTTACTTTTTAAAACTGCTTTTGTTGTAGTTAGGAGAGGTGGAATGTTTAGAGTTCATACCAATAAAGGTATAGCTCCTGTTGAGATGGTTTGCTTTGGAAAATTAAGTGGCTGTGGACTTCTGGTGATGCAGGAGAATGTGTAAGTGCACACTTTGCTGATGTTCATGTATTTTGCAGGCAGCTGAGGCAGCTGTAAGCTTGTATTTGCATGCCCTGAAAGGGTGAACCCTGATAAAGGGCAGAATATGCAGACATTGCTCATCTGTATCTGCCAAGAGAGCTGTTAACCAAAACTGACTGAAATGACAAGGCTCTGTCTTATATCTCCAAGTTGCCTACAGACAACACGTGGAGAAGCTTTGCAGTCATGGGACAGAAGACAGAAGAATTGCATGGCAACAATGGTGGATGCAGAAGTGTCAAATAGTTTGTCTATTTGTTGAAGATCTTGAATTCCCCATCTCAATGGAGAGGGAATATTACCATCTGGAGGTTTTTTATTGCCAAGAAGACTTGTTTCCTCTGTTTTTATATTTGTTTTGATTTTCTATGCCTTCAGGAGCAGTTTAATCAGCTCACCTTTCAATCCTGCATTTCCAGACCTAGAATTGGCAGCCATTCTTCATCATATTCCTCACTCCATCTGTTCCATTCCAAGGTTTTGGCCTATTTATTGTCTAATCACCTTTTAGTTGTCTTCTAACCCATGCCCCCTCTACCATTTTGTTTCTGTTTGTTTTTATTTCTTAATTTCTTGCATTTCTTCCTCTCTTTGTCCTGTTCCGTCTCCCCAAGAATGGAAAGCTTAATGGCGTAAAAGCAGTATTGCCTTATTCCACTCTTAGATGCTTTTCTGCTGGTGTAAACTTCACTTAAATCTTCTTTTTGGCATGCTTTTCTTCCTGTAAACACAAATAATCATTGACCCGAGGAACTCAGTAAACAAATAGGGAATAAGAAGCTGCAAAGATGTTACCTTATACTAGAATTTGAAATCTTCACTAGGCAGCTGTCAGCTGTCTTATGTCCCAGCATGTAGTACTTCAGCCTGATTGTTCAAAGTTATTTTGCCACATGAATTGTAAAGGTAAGTACAGCCAATCAGCCCAACTGATAGCTTTGTAAATTGTAAGATGAAATAGGTGACTAAATTGCAGATCTTGAGCTGAATGTAGGTTACTGCCACTTGAAATTCAGTGCTTGAACTGCAGCTATTTCCTGCAGCCAGCTGCAGCACTGCAATGGTGTGAATACTATTTGGTAAACATAATTTCTGTCAGTGGGAGGTTGAGGGTAGCAGAGGCTTTGTAGGCCAGTGCTGGTGGGGTGTCCAGCTTCCTCTGACTGTTTCTTTGCTTTCTGGGGGACAGGGAGGTAGCAG